GGAATGTTAGGCTGGTTGCAAGACACCCAGGCTCAGAACCAGAAGCAACAACATTGCCACAACCCAACCCTGTGTCCCACCAAATCTGTCATGCTGAGAGGGGTGCTCTGCTATTTGAAGTGAGACATAGTGTTAAAACCTGTCTAATCTGAGCTAATACCTTGACTTGGCAATGTGCTGTTTGGTCATATCAGCCCAGGTGGTGCTACAATTTCCAATGATTCAAGCCATATTCAAGCAGTTTAAATTCCATCCCAGTCCCTGTGATTAGTGTTTCCATTCATCTGGTTCCAGGCCTGTGGAGATCCTTTAAAAATGGGAAAAGGTTTTTAGAAACACTCAATGAAATTTAGAAGAGGGTCTCTGAACCTGAATGTCTACCTGCCATCAGTGATTCAAAAAGCCTGTGGTCATCTGGAAAAGCACTCAAATTCTCAGCACAAAATTATAATATTTATTTACTTGTTAAGGGCCAATCAGAATAACAAATAGTAAATAATGCTTTTTGTTGGTGGTGTATCAAGTATTTAGTTTAGACTATGACTGCTTTCATCTCAGAAATTAATAAATTAAAGATCATTCCCTGTAGGTGATACGAAGTCTTATCTCAGCAAAACATTTAACCATATGCTTAAGTCAGTCTATATGCAACAGATCCTCTGAAATATAACCCAGGAACTACAACACATTTTGGACAGACCATCTTCCAGATTGGTTTATGCTTCTGGAGTGTCTGAATGATAAAGAAAACCTACTGAAAGATTTCTCAGCTGGAGTGAATTGTCCTGGTTCCACACAAGGCAAGAAGCTCCCATGCTTGATACATCCTCCCTCATCTATAGGTACAGAATTCTCTCCTGCTTCCACTGAGCTCACTGAGTGCTGCGATTCATTTCATCAGGAGCAGGAGCCAGCCAGAATTATGGTCAGATTGATGAAAATGCAATGCACATGTTAAAATAAAGTAGGATCACATCTGCATTTTGTCTGCATACTGAACAATAATGTGGATTTTTTAGTGTTCTTTTGAAAAAAAAGAATAGTTTGACTGTTCTTTCCAAAGGAAACTTGGCAGTAGTAAAAACTAGATGCAAAATTTAATGTTTTTAAAATTTTAGGCCACCAGCATTGATTTAACAGTCTAAAATGTTGTTCCTGCTCTGGGAGAGTTCCATACTGACTGAGCGACCCTTTCTCCTTTCCTTCAAATTCTGGGTAAAAAAAATAATCAAATATTTCAAGTGCCAAACTATAAATGCAGATTTTTAATGGTCAGGCAGACTTCCACTGTGCTAAAATCACAAATCATGGAAACAATAACTCTACCTCTACAGACAGACAAACCAATCAACATCCAGAGAAGGTGTATCTCTCAAATACATTTAGATATTTGTCTTTATAAGGGATGAAACTATTACTCTTGAGGGGCATAGCCAGAAGTGAATCATCAGGTATCTCTCTTGCATATGAAGATAGATGGCATATTTGACTGAAGATGTGGCTTTTGTCTCTCTTTCTCTCTCTCTCTCTCTGTGACAGAATCTCATTTATAGCAAGAATTTGTTCACTACTGCAGAATAAATGAGTATTAGAACCATATACATGTATGTGTGAATATATAGTCACTATTCCTAGTGATAGTGATTAAACCATTATGTTCTAAATATAGATGGGAAAGCATGTGAGCATTTTAAAATATCTGTGAATGCTTTTTGAATTATTATCTTCTGATTATCTTTTTTTTGTGCAAAAGCCTTTGCTATGGATGTTGTTATTCTTGCTATGTTTGTGTGAGCAGTTCAGTGTGCTCATTAGCTGGATCATTTCTATAGTACATCTTATTGGAACGGTGGGTTTTATATCTCAATTTCTGAAAGAAAAAGGTCTGACAGACAGTGAGTGGAGTAGATTATACCAACACAATCATAGCAAACAGAAAGAACATCCATAAATAAACATCATGTTCATGGGGCTGGTTTTGGGGGTTGGGTTTTGGCTTTTTTTTTCTTTTCAATTTAGCAGCCATGGCCTATTTTAAAAAGAATAGGTTGGACATTATGTAAAATAAACTGGATAGTCATCTCCACATGCTCCAGGTAATTTAAGTCAGTCACACCTTCAGTTGTTTTGGCTACTTTTTGAACAACTCTTACTGTCTTAATCCAACTCAACTCCAATGAGAACAACTAATTTAGAAACTTCCCATTTCTATGCATTTTTGATGTAGTTCTTTCTCATTCTTGCCTACTCCACTTTCTCTGACTTACTTATACATAATGCAGGGCATGCAAAGAACAGAGCACTTCCAGCCCGTGTTTAACTTCACTTGTATCTCTAATCCTATGGGTGGGGTTCACATGCTTAAAGTTATGTTAGTAAATTGTCTGCCTGAACAGAGGCAGCGAACAATAAGAAAACTCATTTAAGAAGAAAGCTAATGCACCACAAATGCCAAGCATCAAAGGGAGGCAAGTATAGGAGATAGAATGTGCATGATTTTAAGATGCCCAAATTTTAGAAATTCAGGTTAAGGTTTCCATGGTGATGCTATCTTCATCTACTTCCTTATGAACTTGGGCCTCTGCTGAGTTCCACCCACATAAAGGATAGAACAGGGTCAAAAGTTTTCAATATATTTCCAGATACGTTATAGCAGGAGACATGACACTGTTAAACTTAACTCCAATGTTTTGTATCCTAAAATGTCAAAATATTAGTTTTTGCTTTAACGTCCCTTTCTTCTCCTTGTGGAAAAGAACATTAATGTTCATTTCTCAAAGGAAATCCTTGATCCAAGCATGCGAATTGGAAAACAATAACATATTTTATGCAAGACATATTCTTTAATACAGGCAGCATGAGCTCAGTGTAAAACCCAGCAAGCAGAAAGGTGGCTTATGCCATTTCTGCAGCAGGACAATTCTGAGGACTGTGCAAACAAACTTTAATTTATACCCAGTTACCCATGGCCCTAAGCACCCCTGGAGGACAGTAGATCTCTGGCCCCTTCCAGTCCTGTCTCACCTGCTGGTCAGAAGAAAAAAACCTAACAGACAATTTAAACTGTTGGAATAGTACAAAGAGGGTGCCGTAGTGGTGATAATATAGACCAGGGATCTTTAGTTCAAGGCACGGTACGTAAGCCTTTATAACCATCTCACCCCACTCTGCACGTGGCTGTGATTTCTCATTTCTTCTTCTACGTGAAGCAGAAACTGCTTGCTTCCACATTGCAGTTTCTCTGTGGCCTCTCTCTGCCTACCCAACCTGCAGTTGTTTGCACAGTCCCTAGCAGCTGATGCCTGCCTCAGTGGCTCTGCTTGTGGGCATCCTTCACCCACTTGCTACAAGTCCCTTTGGGTTCCCTTCCATGCCTCTGCACTCACGTATGGAGAGAACTTCCTATAAACGTCTGCAAAATCACTTCATTGTCTTCTCTGTCTTATTTCTTTCTAAAACTCTACCTATGAACAGCTAGAAAACAGCCAGGCTGCTGGTGTGTTAATGCAACCACCTGTTATACTGATCAATTTGGGTTTGTTGTTTCTTTATACTCCCTTACATCCTTTTATCCCACATCTGTCTCTTGCTTTGACTGTAAGGTCCTTGGAATCAACATGTAATGGAATAGGATCTTGATCTATGGATAGTACAAACTCTGGGGGAACAGAAACCATAAAAATGAATGAGGCAGTTGTGCAGAAAATGTGCATCGTCATGAAATGGTATCAGCTGTGATAGCGTTGTCACAAAATGCAATCACTGCATAAAATACTGATCTTACTGACTGGTCAAAACTCTTTGACTTCAGTGAAACCCAGGATATTGCCATCTGTCATTAAATCTTCAGATAGACACTGGTTTTGAGTAATCTTTTTTTTTTCATTGGCAATGATCAGAAATCTCCTTCTCTGAAGTGATTCTGATAATTACCTGTTGGCCACTGCCTTATCTGATCTGGTCATCATTCTCATTTCTCACCTACCTGTTCTGCAGTATAGAATTATGTGTGTGTTTATATACTGCCAAAAATATTTATGACTGTTGTCAATAATTAATAATTATTGGTAGTGAGAATATTACATGAAGCACTTTGTCAAAATGAATCTGTAAATTACTCTGATGAATAATCAAGAGTGTTTTGCATTTATCATCTTATCTCAAGCAAAGCAAACAATCCTTTTTGAAATACTGCTGTACAATCTAAGCTGGCCAAAACCAGCTTTGGAGTTCAAAAATGCCCACTCATGTTTAGGCTGAATATTCAATATTTCCCACTCTTTGTTTCATAAACATAAACAACCATTTGGAGGCAAATTCTTCCTAGCAACATGCGTAACTCAAACTGAAAAAATAAGAAAGGTTTTTGAGAAGTGAGAAATATTCTGTGATATGAACGCGATGCTTCTGTTAACCCATTACTGGTGTTTGATTCTTTTGTTCATTTTACAAGAAGCTCAGGGTGCCCAGATCATGGGACCATATCTTTCCTTTTCCTTCCCGTTTCCTCTTTCTCTTTTTCCTCCAAAAGCTCAGGACTCATCTGACATAGCCTTGACATTATTTTAAAACGCCGTTTGACAGTCTCATCATAAGGGACAGGGCTGCTCTTTTTAAAAACAAAACTCAGTGTCAATTTAAAGATTGCAAGCTACGGCCCGTGTTCCACTGGAGGCATCGGGCTTTCCCAGGTGAGAGAACGGGTTCACCCAAAGTTCAGTTGTTCACAGCAAAATTGGAAAAGGAAAAGGAGCAAGAAAGAAGAGGTCTCCCTCCCCCCCCGTCCTTCCCACCCGACACACACATCCATCTCTGCCCCGGTGCCTCCCCCCTCGCCCCACGAGGATGCGGACCGTACCCCATGCACATCGGAAATGGACCCGGCGAGGCTCTCGGCGCAGCATGCACACGCGGGAGGGAAGGGAAGGGGAGGGGGATGCCTTCGCACGGTCTGCTCATCACCATCAAGAGTTAAAGAGAGAGTGAAATGGCTAACGTACACACACCCCGCTCCATACCGGAGAAGAGTCTCCCAGCTGAGGTTTATGCTCTGTGAGGACCAGGCTGAAACTGACCGCCCCCACGGCCACGCTGGACACCCCTAACCCTATCTCCAGCACGGAGAGCACCAGGAGGCTCCCGATGATCTGGCTGCTGGTGCACATCCTCCCTCGGTCATCCTTCCTTCCCGATCAGCCGGGGAAACCGCGCATCCTCCTCCTTCTCCTCCTCCGGCGCTCGGGGCCGGGGCGCGGCGGGCGGCTGGGCAGCGCGGCCGGCGGTACGTGCAGCACCGGCCGCCTCCTCAGGGGCTGCGCCTCCTCCGGAAAAGTCGACCTTGTCTCATCGCCTCCTGCGCTCTCATTGAAATGACCTCACTGGGAGTATTTTTTTTTTCTTCTTTTCTTTCCTTTTTTTTTTTTTTGCCATCTCATCCCTTCCTTTTCAGGGTCCCCCCCCTCCAACCTTTTATTTCTCTCCCCCCTCTCTCTTCTCGGGTTGGGGGTTGGGAGGGGGAGAGGAGTGTGGCGAGCCCACCCCGGCTATATTTATGTATGAATCTAGACCCAATGCACAGCCGAGGCGCTACGGCAGCCCCGCCCCAGGGCCACAAGGCACAGCACCTTCCTCCCGTTCTTCCTCCCCCGCT